CCCCCCCCCAGTGAGCCAGGGATGAGCCCCCATCCCCAGTGAGCCAGGGATGAGCCCCCCCCCCCCCAGTGAGCCAGGGATGGTCTTCTCTCGTGAGGAGGAAGAAACTGGGAACCGTGGGTGAGTTCACCTACAGACATTGGAAGTCAAGCAACTGGGGGAGCTGAGGTTGAACTCAGATCTTTGGCCCCAAAGCATGTCCCTCTACCGCTGTGCAGTATGATAGGTACGGAGTATGCCGAGGTAGAAAGCAGGAGAGGCGAAAATTTTGATGGAAAAATTGCACAGCAGGGCACGAGCCCCTCAAGAAGCAAAGCAGGCCCGGGTGACATCACAGGAGACCAGATTTGATGGCAGCCCTCAGAGCCAGAGGGCTTTCCTGCAGGGAGAGGTATTGACCCAGGGAAGGGATACTTTTCAGTTGGCAATAGAGAGCTAGTTCCTGGGAACTTTGAAGTTCAGAGGAATGCCTCATCCTAGAGACTGTGTCTAGGGAAAGGAATGAGCCCACTGGTGCCCAGGTCTAGGGCTTAGAGTGAGTTTATCTTTCTAGGAATAGCCTAGGATGCCTGGGAGATGGGTGGCCGAAGGAGACATGAGCTTGGGTCAGCAAGACTATTGAGGTTCTCATCTCTTGATGGAGAAGGGCAGAGTCCATCTTGCCAAGAGTCTGTACCGGGAAGATGAAATTCCCAGGACCTTAACTAAATGCTCAGATGGGGACCAGTCATTCCCTGTTCCATGTGGACCCAAACCCTCATTATTGTGTGGGTACAAAATTGCCTGAATTTTTTTTTTTTTTTTTTGGTCAAGATTCTGATCCCATGACCAGCCAGGACTGGGAAGAACAGCACTGTGCTACGGTTCTGATTGAATCCTGACTCACACAGGGATTTGCTGATCCAGATTATGTGGATGGTGATGGGACAGAGATTCTGTGGATGACACAGCATATGTTGCATTTCATAGTAAATTAGATGTGTGAATTTGGTGGGAGGCAGTGCTCAGGATGGACCCAAGGCCTTGCTTACATTAGGCAAACACTTCCACTGAGCTACACACCAGCACTGATGGCCTGCTGGTTTATTTTTGCTCCTCTAATGCACGAGCCATGGGGACAATGACAGGGTCACAGAAAGCATGTCCTGCTACTCAAAGACCTCAGGCTGCACAGACATGTATTTAACTCTGCCCTGGGAATATCCCTGACCATTGGCATTACCAAAGCATAGTGATATCTTCCTTGAAGTTACAGGAAGAACACACAGACAGATTAGACTTTCATTTCCTATGTTATGCCTCTCTAGCCTTTGTTTGTTTAGCATGTGTGCCTCTGTGTGTGTGTGTGTGTGTGTGTGTGTGTGTGTGTGTGTGTGTGTGTGTGTGACATGTATATGCAGGTGCTCATGGAAGCCAGAAGAGGGCATCAGATTCAACCACTAGTTACAAGTGGTTGTTGTGAGTTTCCCAGTGTGTGCGCTGGTAACAGAACTTGGGTCTTCTGGCAGAACAGCAAGTACTTTTAACAGCTGTGTTATCTAATCCCTTCACACAGCCTTGTGCATACTCCAGAGCTAGGAACCACTGGGGGCATTTGGTTGACAATAATTGACCGCCGAGGAAACATCAGGAAGTGCGTGGAAGCTCACTTGGCAGCCAAAGGGCATGGCAGTGAGGAGGAAGGGCTAACCGTTTCTCCATCTGCTGCTCCTTTCAGTACGGCAGAGCTAAATGGGCTTTGCATCCAAGGGCTGACTCTTGTTGGTCCATCTGTCCTGTGCTTGTGGAGTAGGAAGCCTTCCGGAGTTGATGAACTCTCTCTGTTTCTGCCTTGGTATCATGTGACCTGGACCTACAGGCTGTTCTTCACCGTCAGACTCCTGAAGGGGAGGGCCAAGGATGAGAAAAATGAAGATAGGGAAATCAGGGTCAGAAGATCTTTCACGAGTTGATGGCTCAAGCCAGGCAAGCTTATTGAGAAGACAACATCTTACGTACTGTTTTCAGGGCAAAATGGGACAGAACCATCAGATGCTGTCAAGTCCACAATGGAATGGACTCAGCGGTGAGCTAAAGTGATGTTGCACAAAGGGAACATGGGGTACCTCAAGTGCCCCGCAGACTGGGTACTCAGCGGCCTTGGAATTGATAACCACAGGCCTTCATATTGGGGCAAAGTAGTTCCCAGGATCCGAAACTGCAGCTTCCTCAAGGCCCTGGCCCCAGACCATTACTGACCTTACCAAGCATGTTCCTGGTTTCAGCAAGAAACTATATTCCTTCTCTATACATCCAGGCCTCAGGGAAAGCCCCAGACTGCCCTGGCTCCCAACAATTAAGGCTGCAGAAGGATTTTCGGGAGTTGTGTGTCAGTTAGTGCTGAATCAGTGTTTCTATTATCTGCTAGGTCCTGGGACTTTTGCACTCCAATACTGACATGAGGTATTTTCATTTGCGCTCAAGTGTGTGTTATTGGAGAAATTATTTTGGCCACTCCACGTAGTTAAAAGGATATTTATTTAATGGCGTAACTCACAAATTAAGTAATAGGTAGGTCGCAGGGTCTGGGGAAGGTGTATCGCAGTCCAGCGGTGTTTTCCGGAGCTCTGTACAGTCCACCTTCACCGTTCAGCATCCTAGCACAGAGAGAGCGCACAGAGAGAGTGCTGGCCCATCCAGCTCTCGGGTCTCCAGGCGCCTCCCCTGGCCCTGCCTCGTAGGCGTGACAGTTGCCAGGGTCTCAATGGGGGTTGGAACTTCCAGATCCAAGCTGGAATGGCTACCCACTACAGTGTGTGTATGTGTGTGTGTGTGTGTGTGTGTGTGTAACCATTTTGCAGTTGTATATGACCTCGTGCTACAGAAACTTTGGATGTTGATAAGTTATTACACAATGAAGTGAGGTATTCATGCTTATAAATGGGCCAACAGCTTCCAGCTTTCACTGAAGGCAGGTTCTGTGGCTAAAGGTCATAGAAGCTTTTCGGCTGATCTCCTAGCACTGGGTTAACAGATTTGGTGAAACTGATCATTTCAATAGCACAAGAGAAAAAAACATCAACATTCTATCACTGTATCCCAGAGATGGGGCTATGGAAACCATTATTCATTAGTTTGCACTAGAGAGAGCCAGCCTGCCGTGTGATTTTTTTTTGTCCCCCATAGTCTTGGGGTCAGAAGTGTGTAGTGTATTAGTCAAACTGTCAACCAAAAGAGTCTTGGTGGGGGAAGTAATTCTGATTTGTGTGTGAGGAAGGCCTGGAAGTTGGGAATTAAATTTCCGTGTATGTGCATGTGCACGTGCATGTGTATAGTATATGCACATGTTCATGTGGGTATGTGTACATGTTGCCATGAGGTCGACTGTTGTGGCATATCTGTGCACCATGTGGAAATGTATTGTGATTGGTGTAATAAAAAGCTGAATGGCCAATAGCTAGGTAGGAGGTGTAGGGGGACTTCCAGGCAGAGAGAGAACTCTGGGAAGAAGGTGGAGTTGCCAGCCAGACACAAAGGAAGCAGCATGGGCAGTGAGGAGAGATGAGCCACCACGCGACGGAATGTAGATGAAAATAAAAGGGTTCATTTAAGTTATAAGAGCTGGTGGGACAAGCCTAAGCTAAGGCTGAGCTTTCGTAATTAGTAATAAGCCTCTGTGGTATTATTTGTGAGCTGGTGGCCCAAAGGAAAATCTGTCTACAGTCTATATTGTCTTCCTCCATTGTCCTCTACCTTTGTTTTTTGAAACAGGGGTTCATTGATTCTGCTAGGCTGGCCAGCCAGTGAGCTTCAGGGACCTGTCTGTCTCTGTCCTCCCAATGCTGAGGTGACAGCCACCCCCAGTTTTTATGTAGGTGTTAGGTGTGGGGGCTCAGGTCCTCACGCTTGCATGCCAGGCACTTCACCAAGTGAGCCATCTCCCCAGCCTGAGAAATTATGTTTCCTAATAGCGATCTCTAAATGTGTCTCTTAGCTCTTGGCCATTTGATAACTCATTGATGTGTCTGTCTTCTATAGCTTGGAATTGCAATTGGGTTTTTGGTCCCTCCTGTTCTGGTACCCAACATCAAAGACCAGGAAAAGCTTGCCTACCACATCAGCATCATGTTCTACATAGTAGGAGGTGTGGCCACTGTCCTCTTCATCCTTGTCATCATCGGTAAGATCATTAGTGTAGGCTGCTGGTGGGCAAGGGGTGGGGAAGTTATGTCAACCCTGGTGGCAGCCTTTGAACATGGCCCTAAATACCACAGATACTTAAAGATACTGGAGATCAGGCTTCTTATAGTCTTCAGATGTTTTATCCTGAGTAATTGTCCCTAATACAGCGCTAACTGGTGCTATGTACTTTGTTAGCAGCCCAGGAAAGGTTTAATTGTAGTTGACCAGACTCTATTTCCTCACCAGAAGAATTAGGTGGACTGCTGTCACCTTGATGAGACCCAGAGAGGACCTCCAGTGTCATGGGCATTGTGTTAAGAATGTCTGATTTCATCTAATCCCCAGAAACCCAACAAATGAGGTGCCTTGTAGAGCCTCTTCAACAGGAAGCTAAGACTTGAGGGAAATTCAGTGGGTCATTCTAGATTAGACCACTAGCAAGTGACCAGGAATGGATTCAAGTCCAGGCTTATTTAATGCCACATTCTAAATTATAAACAGAAATGGCTCCACAAACACTAAAAAATCTAAGGTTAACCTGAGAATACGTGGAGACCAAATTTCTTCTTCATTATTATTGATTATAAAAGTAATATGTGTGCTATGGAAAAATCTAAACATAAAAAGGAGTCTAAAGAAAGGAATGGCTATTAATTCATCCTTGAACAATTTCATCCCAACAAGGAAACTCAGGTAACTGTTATTAATCTTTTACACAGATGTCCAATTACTCATCTAAGTATTTGATTGTTTCTGTTTCCTGGATGGCCCCTATGATCCTTGCACTCTGGGGGCTGAGGCAGGAGGATGACTAATTGAAGGACAGCTTATGCTACATAGGAAGACCTGTCTCAAAGAAAACAAACAACAACAAACCCACCAAAAAAAGTGAACAAAAATAAAAGAGAAACACTTATTGTTTTCATCTAAGTGATATTACCGGGATAAATTCAGAGCCATCCAGGTAGGACTTTCTTCCCTGTTAGTCACCCATCTAAAAGGTTAGCCTCTGCCCTCTGTCCTAAAGTCCTATCTCAGGTATTAAAGGTTTATCCCTGTGTGCTGGCTCACCTGCAGAGTCAGGTAGTTAAATGTGTATCTCATCCCATCACTCTCTATATCATTTTATTCCAGGTAGCTTAGACAGTGGCCAGTGGTCCCTAAGGCTAGCAGCAGGGAGCTATGAGTGGAAGCAAGGAAGAATGAACCAGTCCAGGGCCTCTTGGTTCCACTGAAGTTTTCCACTGTAATGTGCCTGCCTCCAGAGGCTTGTGCTCACAGCCTGTGAGGTCCTGGCTTTTTGCAACTGCAAACCTAGGTGGTAGGACATTGCTTCATTTGGGTATTAAATTAGATAGTGGTTGGCTGAGTGAAGGATGAAAAAAAAATCTTATATGAGTCCTGGTTCCTGGTTGTCAAATCCTTTCAACAACAGCCAATGCTATGAAGCTAAATCACCTTCCTGCATTACTTTCTTCTGATGGAAGGAGAGCTGAGCAGCCAAGACAATGGATAGCATTCTCCAGTGGGAGAATTTATCCAGCACTATTATTGGAGAAGGAAGAGGCAAGGCTCTGAAGTCAAAGCTAGAATGGTTGAGGGTGGGGCACTTTGATCTGCTCAGAGAGCCAATCTCATTTCCAGAACTTCCTCTGGGGCCAGGCTGCTCACCTTCCAGCAGAGGTCTCTTGGGACTTGCCAGGGGCCATGTAGTGAGTGCTGGCCCAGACCATGGGGGGGTACCAATTGAGTCAAATACCTAGTTAAACACAACCTGCCCTACGGAGAGCCAAATGGCACTCGGTGGGGTCAAATCACACCGGCTGTGTGGAACGAGACGCTAAATGGAGTACTTTCTCCACAGTCACTCCCCAGCCTTTAACACGAGGGTGGTCACTCCTGGATCTCGTTTCTTTCATTAAGACATGTCTGACTCAGCGTTGGCGAAACTAGGAATACACGCTCAGCATTTGCTAGTGTCATTTTCTTTATCTCAGGGAGCGACTTTTGGCTGCCATGTTCCAGACTGTATGACTCTGTAGTCACACGTCCCATCCCCCTCTGGAAGGAACGCTGGAGCTCAGCTGTTCACAGGGTTCACTAACCTTCCAAAGTTTAGCTTTCACTTTTTGCACCCATGTGCCTCCCCAACACCCCTTGCTTCGTGTTATGTTATTTGCTAGTTATTGTGGGCTGCCTTGATCTTTGAACACTGCCTGGGAGGTTGAGTGAGGCAATTAAAGGAAAGGCAATTAAAAAAAAAATGACAGTGCTGGAGAAAACAGCTCAGAGATAAAGAGCTTGCCTCGCACGCTCGAGGTCTAGGTTCTACCCACTCTACTGCAAAAGAGAAAAAAGAAAAGGCGATGAAAGGACTCCGTTGCAAAGCCTCAGACAACGAGAAGCAGCTTTAGGAAAGGGACTAGGAAGATTTCTCTGGAAACCGCTATTTCCTTTACAGTTTCAGCCCCTCCCGAGATGATGGAGCCAGCTTGTGTCTGTGTGGAGCCGGTAGGTACTGCTGGGATGAGACCACAGGAATTTCCCATCATCTCTCTTCCTTTCCTTTCAGTATTCAAGGAGAAGCCCAAGTATCCTCCCAGCAGGGCCCAGTCCTTGAGCTATGCCATGGCGTCCACTGATGCTTCGTACTTAAGTTCCATCGTGCGACTCTTCAAAAACCTCAACTTCGTGCTGCTGGTCATCACCTACGGTAAGGTGCACAGGCGTCCAGGAGTGCTAGAACTAGCCAGATGTGTCTGTGTTTCTTACTCTTCCCAAGTCCCAAATGTGCATGTAAAGTTGGTTAGGGTTGACCTTGGGGCCTCTGCAGCCGTTGTGAAGTCCACCCTAGGAAAACCATTCCTTTCCCTGCAGGTTCTGATCTCAGTATCCCATCTCTACAGCAGTTATAAATGATTTTTCCTCTCTTGTTAACATCTTAATACTTGGGTCTTAAAATAAAAGCTCTCAATCCAGCTCCCTACTACACTGAATTCAGTGAGTGGATTGCTCCAGGAGGGATGGACAGATGAGTGAGTGAGTTAATGAATGAATCTGTAAATTAGTCTTGCTGGCCGGGCGTGGTGGCACACACCTTTAATCCCAGTCCTCAGGAGACAGAGGCAGGCAGATCTCTGAGTTCCAGGCCAGCCTGATCTACAGAGTGAGTTTCAGGACTGCCAGGACTATGCAGAGAAACCCTGTCTCGAAAAACAAAACAAAGAACAAGGCGATAACATTCAAAATACCCATCCTTTAGACGGCTCCTAGTCTGTGAGTGGGCACTCTTAGTTCAAGAAGTTGTATCTCTGCCCAAGTGCACTGCCTCACAGCCTACACTTGCCCTTTCAACCACCGGATAAAGTTAAAAGTAAATCAAGTGTGTGACTTGCTCAGTAACCTGTGAAACAAAGACATGAGGTTGTAAGACAAACTAAAGTGAGACTCTTTTGGCCAGCCATGACTTCATGTTTTCTATGGGTGCATAAGTCACTGTTTTGTAACATCACCATCATCAGATTTGAGTTAACTCCTACAGTACCCATGTCTTAGTTAGGATTTCTATTGTTGTGAAGAGACGCCATGACCATGGTAACTCTTATAAAGGAAAACATTTACTTGGGGCTGGCCTACAGTTTCAGAGGTTCAGTCCATTATCGTCACGGCGGGAAGCAAGGCAGCGTGCAGGCAGACCTGATGCTGGGGAGATAGCTGAGAGTTCTACATCTTGATCTGTAAGCAACAGGAAGTGAAACTTGTAAATGGAAATTTCTGTCCTGCCAGCAACTCCCAAATACCCAGCAGATGCTTCCCACATAATTGACTTGGAGGCTTCGTATTAATTTGAAGTGCTGGGCCAGTAGCTCAGGCTTATTACTAACTAGCTCTTACACTTAAATTATCCCATAATTCTTATCTATGTTTAGCCATGTGCTTGGTACCTTTTCTCAGTACGACATTCTCATTTTGCTTCCTCTGCATCTGGCTGGGGACTCCTGACTCTGCCCTCCCTCTTCCCAGCATTCTTAGTTTGGTCATTCTGCCTATATTTCCTGCCCGGCTACTGGCCAATCCACATTTTATTAAACCAATTCCAGTGACAAATCTTTACAGTGTACAAGAGGATTATTCCGCAGCAGAACTATGTATATACTACACTGAGTGTAGCTTGAGCATATATCAGAACTCAAAATCCACCCCTAACGTGACACACTTTCTCCAACAAGGCCATACCTCCTAATAGTGCCACTCCCTATGGGCCAAGCATTCGAACACATGAGTCTATGGGGGCCGTTCCTATTCAAACCACCACACCAGGTGAGGTCAATCCTGTAATTATCCTCACTTAACAGAGAAAGAATCTGAAACTCAGAGAGACTAGGTATTTAGACTAAGGTCATATCTGAAAGTGGGCAGAGCCAGATTCAAACACGAGTTTGTTAAACTCGAAAGCCTACATTGTCTCTCTTATTACATAACCCAGGCTTCAGAACAAAGTCTTAAGTGATCCTCCTGTGTCAGCTCCTCAACAGCTGGAACTACAGGTATACGCCGTCACATCCAACTCCAAAGCCAGAATTTGCTTGCTTATTCTATAGTTGCCCCTATAAAGTTTCCTTTCAGGTCTGCCCCTGCCAGTAGGGCTGAGAAGTTACGGCTCAGCAGGTAAGAGCATGGATGAACTGCTCTTTCAGAGGATATGGGTCCGATCCCCAGCACCCACAACCGTCTATAACTCTAATCCCAGATGACCTGCCTCCCTCTTCTGGTCGCCCCAGGCAACCAGGCATGTGTGTGGTGCAGACATACACACAGACAAAACATCCGTACTCATAATTTGTCACAGCGACACAAAGCCAGCTGCACGGCAAGCTTCCCCGAGGACAGAATCCAACGGCGTGCTGGATGAAGGGTTTCGTTTTCCGTGTTTCTCTTCGGGAAACTCAGATTCGGGCAGCATAGGTGAAGGCCTGCCTCTTGTAAACATCCTGGGCATTTCTGACGTAGAGCAGATTTGGGGATTTCTGAAGTAGTTGTGGGAAAAGTTGATCGCCTGGTCTTGGGGATCATTCTCTTCCATGTGAACCCCACCACCTGGGAGTCTTGGTCTGGTCTTTTATCTTCTGTGTTCCTAAAGCCATACTCTAGTTTTGAGAAATAATACCTAGTAAACCCCCTTCGTTCCTTCGTTCCTTCCTTCGTTCCTTCCTTCCGTCCTTCCTTCCTACCTACCTACCTCCTTCCCTCCCTTTCTTCCTTTCTTCCTTCCTTTCTTTCCTTCCTTCCTTCCTTCGTTCCTTTGTTCCTTCCTTCCATCCTTCCTTCCTTCCTTCCTTCCTCCCTACCTACCTCCTTCCCTCCCTTTCTTCCTTTCTTCCTTCCTTCCTTCCTTCTCCCCCCCCTTCTTTCTGTTAAAACATAGGTTCTTGAGCCCCATTCTAGGAGATTCTGATTTTTTAAAAAATGTATTTGCCAACTTTTTTTTGAGACAGGATTTCTCTTTGTAGCCCTGGCTGTTCTGGAACTTGTTTTGTAGACCAGGCAGGCTGGCCTCCAACTCATAACAATCCACCTGCCTCTGCCTCCCAAGTGCTGGAATTAAAGACCTGTGCCACCATGGCCTGGCTTCATTTTTGAACTTTTAAGTGGTTCCTGAAATAGTTTGGGGGAAAAAACTAGTCTCAACAAAGGAAGGAGACCCCCAGTGATGCCTATCACATCTGCCTGCCTCCTTCTCAGGACCTGCACATCTGTCTCCCAGTGATGTGACAGTCAGCATGGCAGGCTCCCGGGGTGGTCACACGGCCCCTGTCCTGAGAGGATGGGGGCTTCCCTTGCTGTTGTGATCAGAACTGAGTATCAGACCATCCCCTGGATTTGTGGAGGAGGTGCCTCGCCCTCAGGGCAAAGCCTGAGTTCCTTTCCTGCTCTTCCTGCTCTTGGGTGTGAGGCGCTCAACCTTTTGGACTGCACAAAGGAGTGGACTTACCTTGTCTGACTTGTCTGGCAGTGCTTGAAGATCTGGGGAAGGACATCTAAAGATTGATTCAGGAATCCATACATCAGCTGCTAACTCCTCTGGGACGAGTGTGTAGAGCCTTCCAGAGTGCGTCTCTGCTCCCTGCCCTTTTGGCCTTTATCCTGGCTGTCCAGCCAGGTTCAAGGAGAGGTTATTGGTGAACCACTTTCTAACTGAGTCAGTATTTCTGTCTTCAGGGGGGTTAGACTCACCTGGAAGGTGTGCTCACACACAGATTATGGGGCTCCTTCCCAGAGCCCCTGAAGCAGTAGGTCTGGGGTGGGATTGGACACGTACCAGTAGATGACACATGGTCACTAACCCACTGGTCAGCCGTAGTATCCTGGGCCAGGTGCCCAGGACTCTTCCCTCACAGAAGTGCTGATATAGAGATGGGTTTGGTTTTTTTTTTTTTGTTTCTCCTTGAGTTGGATAACATCTCTCCGTTTCCTTGACTATTGCCCACCTTGTTCATCCCAGCTGGGGACCCAAACTGAGAACAGCTGTTCCACCTGAAGCCAAAGTTCACTTGGCTTTGACAGGGTCAGGCTAGGCCAGGAAGGAGGCTGAAGGATGAGCAGGAAGGTCGGAAAGATAATAAGGTGAGGAGAGAAGAGGCCAGGAGGCTTTTTTTTCCCCTCCCCGCTCTCTCCCACATTCCAGCCCACCCCCACTTCTCAGGACCTGGCCTCCTGGTGACTCTTGACTCAGGAATGGAATTCGAAGTGTCTGGGTGTGTGGTTGAAGTTAGTTGGGTTTGCTTTCTAGTAAGATGCCGATTGGATGCCAACTAAACACTCTTTATATATCCATTGTGTGTGTGTGTGTGTGTGTGTGTGTGTGTGTGTGTGTGTGTGTGTGTGACTGTACATTTGCGGAGGTTAGGGGACAACTTGCAAGGGTAGATCTTATTCTTCTGTCATGTGGGTCCTGGGAATGGACCTTGGGTCCTCAGAGGTGGTAGCACATACTTTTATCCACTGAGCCAGCATCTCTCTGGTCCTCTGTAGGATGTTTTCTTTTTCTTTTTCTTTTTTTTCTTTTTTTTTTTTTTTTTGGTTTTTCAAGACAGGGTTTCTCTGTGTAGCTTTGCCCCTTTCCTGGAACTTGCTTTGGAGACCAGGCTGGCCTCGAACTCACAGAGATCCGCCTGCCTCTGCCTCCCGAGTGCTGGGATTAAAGGCGTGTGCCACCACCGCCCGGCGGATGTTTTCTTATGTGACAACCACTAGCCTGGCAGTTGTATCTTTGGGTAACAGGTGGCACTTATTGGCCCATGGTGGCTCTGTGTTGTTGAGGAAGTCATACTGAGCCCAACCTTTTGCATCTGTGGGGTGACCTGCTGAGAGAGGCTGGGATGGGGAGAAACCAGCCCGCCTGAGGGACACCTTTGCTTTGAGTCGTGAAACCTGATGATTAAAGCCAAGGGCTCTGGAAGACACCAGCAGTGAATCCAGACCCAGCTTTACCCCTTAATGCCTGTGTGCTTGCAGGAGTGGGGATGAAAATTCTTATCTACTTTGCATGAGAATCTGATGTTCGCTTTGTATCATGTCCTCCAGGGAACCTGATATAGGAAGAATGTCAACCGTTGCTGATGATGAAAATGGCCTGTGATTAAAAATGGACAGAGAGACCTAGTCATATCTGGTCCCAGGCTACTCAGTGTGTTCTTGAGTACGGCGACTCTTTTCACTGGTCCATCCTGTAGGGGGACCTTGGAAACTAGGGCTAGAGAGTTGTGTTCCTGGGAGGTGCCAGAGGGTGATTCTTGTACTTAACTTTCATTGTTCCTTAGCCAAATCCTTGAGGCCCAAAGAGAAGCAGCATCTAGATGCTTCTGTGATCTGAGGCTCTGTGGACTGGTCCCACTGAAGATGAACTCCCAAGGACATCCTGCTGAGAGCTGTGTGTCCTGTCTTATACCCTTCTCCACAAACAGAACGTGAAGTGTGCCTGTGTTGGTCTTGTGAGCTTCAATATGTAGTTAAAGAAAAAAAAAAGAAGACCCTGATATTTGTGCTTCTTCTTTTAACAAAACAGGACCTTGCCCAAGCTGGCTTCTTACTCAAATCCTCCTGCCTCCGTCTCTGAAATGCTGAGACTGTGTGGGATATGATTAGCAGTCTGTACTACCTCACCCAGTTTGGGGTTTGCTTTTTAACTGTGTGCATTTTCCTCATCTGTAAAATGGGTATGCTAACACTAACTTCTAGGAAAGTTATAAAGATCATAAGGTCCTTAGAACAGGGATAGTACCTATGTGTGTGGTACTGTCGTCGTCGTCGTCATCATCATCATCCTCATCCTTGAAGGAAAGCCAGGAGGCCCTTTCTCCTGCAGGCCAGTTCCAATCTCAGCATAGTCACTGACTGATTGTGTGGCTTTGGGCAAATCACCTTATTATGTTCCTTCCTTCCTTCCTTCCTTCCTTCCTTCCTTCCTTCCTTCCTTCCTTCCTTCCTTCCTTCCTTCCTTTTTTCCTTCCTTCCTTTGTGTATATGTTTATAAACACATATGAATGTGTTCATGTAGGTGTGTGCATATATACAATGCATAGAGGCCAGAATCAATATTAGATGTCTTCTTGTTACTGTCTACTTTTTTAAAAAGTATTTTTATTTATTCTTTGAAAAGTTCATATATTTATACATCTTGATCATACTATCTACTGCCTCCTCCACAATGCCTGGTAATGTTCCCCATTCCTTCTCACTCCCAACTCACATTTTTTTTTTTGAAGCAGAGTCTCTCAATGAAACCTGGATCTCATCAGTTTTGCTAAGTTGGCTGGCTAGTGAGTCCAGGATCCATTTGTCTCTTCCCTTCCCCAAAGCACTGGGGTTTTAGACTCCAGAGCCCATGCCTGGCTCTTTGCATGTATATTAGGGATCCAGACTCTTTGCATGTATACTAGGGATCCAAAGTCTTTGAATGTATAGTAGGGATCCAGACTCTTTGCATGTATGCTAGGGATGCAGACTCTGCCTGTATACTAGGGATCCAGACTCTTTGAATGTATACTAGGGATCCAGACTCTTTGCATGTATACTAGGGATCCAGACTCTTTGCATGTATGCTAGGGATCCAGACTCCTTTGCATGTTTACTAAGGATCCAAACTCTTTGCATGTATGCTAAGGATCCAGACTTAGGTCTTTATGCCTGAGTGGCAGAAACTTTACACACCAACTGAGCCATCTCCCAGTCTCCTATTCTCTATTTCTACCAGCAATTTCCAGGTACTCATTATTTATTGAATGAACTGATGAAGTAGGAGATCACCTCAATGCTCATTCAGGTGTAGTTCAGTTTCACACAGTGGCTCTGTATGACCCTGAACCGAGAAGTGGAGGAGAAGAGAGATGAGAGAAACAGCCAGCCGGTGGAGTGGTGTCAGGGCTCCAAGTCTGGGTGATCAGAGAGAGAATAGGATCATGGGGGGCGGGGAATGGAGGGTGTCCACTGCTTCTTTGAACCCCACAGGTCTAGATAAAACTGAAAGGAGGAACATAGATGGTTCTGACCTGGAGTGGTCCTGCACAGTCATTTCCAGGGCAGGCTAAAGGGAGCATGGTGTAATGGTGTGTGTGTGGGGAGGGGGGGCGCTACAATGGTTAATTTGAGTTGTTTTCAAGTGTTTCTTTCAGAAGAACTGGAAAGTCCCTCACATTTCCTTGAATTTTTCTGCTCTGAGGACACCATGCAGGGTGGAAGTAGGGATGAAGATTTCTTCTGACCCCTCTAAGGGATGTGGGGAGGAGGAAGATGTCAGTCTATGGTCTGAGAAACGACGGATCCTAATGTGTTTCACCCTGCCTTCTTCAGGTCTGAATGCTGGTGCTTTTTATGCCTTATCCACTCTGCTGAATCGCATGGTGATATTGCACTTCCCGGTAAGGCAGATCCCAGGCATGCTGGGCAGGGCAGGCATGCTGGGCAGGACGATACTAAGCTTGCAAACCTGTCTCTTCAAAGGCTGGAGAGCTGTCACTTGGGTCTAATTAGTTATAGTTGGCCTCCTATGGTGGTATGCTTACAGGATTTGGAGGGAGATGGCCTAGATCTCAATTTAAGTATTGATGGTATTAACCTATGTCATAGCATGAATATGACAAGCTTGTTATCATCTTGGACCTCTCTCTTTTCTGCAAAAGACGTATAATTACCTTTTTCTTTTTTCAAGACGGCTGTGTAGCCCCAGCTGTCCTGGAACTCAGGACAGGCTAGACTTGAACTCATAGAGATCTGCCGCCTCTGCCTCCTGAGTGCTGGGATAAAAGATGTCTGCCACCACCTTCCAGCTCTTTTCTTTTCTTTTCTTTCTTTCTTTCTTTCTTTCTTTCTTTCTTTCTTTTTCTTTTTCTTTTCTTTTTTTTTTGAGACAGGGTTCCATTATACAGTCTTGGCTGGCCTGAAACTCACAGAGATCTGCCTGCCTCTGCCTCCCAAGTACTGAGATTAAAGGTGTGTATCACCACGCCCAGCTACAATTACCTCTTGTAAGATTATTTTTTTAACACTAGAGAATAAGGGCTGGAGAGATACCTCAGCCAGTGCATCAGATCACTAGCTACTCTTCCAGGGGACCTGGGTTCAGTACTCAGAAAGCACAGAGTGGCACACAACCACTTGTAACTTCAGTTCCAAGTTACAAGTGGTTATAACTTGGACTTGCAGACCTTCGACTGGCCTCTGCAACTACCGGGCATGAATGTAGTATACATATGTACACGCAAGCAAAATACTCAAACATGAAACAAAATGAAATAAAAATTTGTATAAAAAAAAAGACTAGAGAATAAGTATATGTATGCGTATATTTATATCTTATTTATTAAAAGGGCAAGGTTTACTTTTGAACTCCTACATGTTCAGTTAAAGAGTTTGGGTTTTTTAAATTTTTATTTATCTATCTATCTATCTATCTATCTATCTATCTATCTATCTATTTATTTGTTTTGTTTTGTTTTTCAAGACAGGGTTTCTCTGTGTAGTTTTGGTGCCTGTCCTGGATGGCCTCGAATTCACAGAGATCCTCCTGGCTCTGCCTCCCAAGTGCTGGGATTAAAGGTGCGCCACCAGTGCCCGGCAAGTTTTCATTTATTTTTATATGATGGCTATTTTGCCTGCATGAATGTCAATGCATCCTGCATGTATCTAATGTCCATGGAGACCAGAAGAGGGCACTACATCCCCCTGAGACTGGCATTACAGACTTGTGAGCTGCCACGTGGGTGCTGGGAACTGAACCTGGCTGGCTTTGGGGAGAGCAGCCGGATCCTCCCAGCTCCTAACTGCTGAGTCATCTTTCCAGCCCCTTCATCTTATTTCCTATTAATTTCCTTCTCCTCCTCCTCCTCCTCCTCCTCCTCCTCCTCCTCTTCTTTCTCCTCCTCTTCCTCTCCTTCTTCTTTCTCCTCCTCCTCTTCTTCCTCTGCTTCCTCCTCCTCTTCTTCCTCCTCCTCTTCTTCTTCCTCTCCCTCCTCCTCCTCCTGATTCTTCTTCCTCTTCTTCTCCTCTTCCTCCTTCTCTCCTCCTCTTCTTCTTCGTTTATTATTATTATTGACAAGGTCTCTCTATGTAGACCTGGCTGTCCTGGAACAATTAAAACACTTTAGAACAATGTTTCCAGAACCAGTAAGGCTGGATATCAGGAAAGCGATACTGAGTGTCAGGAGCACCAAGGCCATAGGTGTCATGCTTGCAGGGGCAGAAGCCACCATTGTTTGATGTTCCTGTTTTCAGAGCTGGTTCTAAGGTCATGTCCTAGCTCTGTCTTTAACAACATATGCCTGTGACCTTGGGCTAGCAGGTTAATCTCACTGTGCCTCAGTTTCACATCATCAAATGGGTACAAACTGACTCCTAACCATATGGTGGGGATTATGAGAATTAAATAATAATGTCAACAGGAGTGCCCAACACATTTTGACATTAAAAATTACATTGTTATCTACAAATGTGTCAGGCCACATTCATAGCCATCCTTAGATGCATGGCCACAGTTAGACCCACTTGAAAAATAGAAGGATGAAATAAATACATGTGTTCTAGTATATTTTCCTATCTATAAGATGTGAACAATGATATATAAGATTGAATTGCTGTAAGGATTAATTTTAAAGTATTGGGGCTGAGCATGGTGGTGTACCCCTTTAATCCTAGCAGTTTGGAGGCAGAGATAGGTAGATCTCTGTGAGTTCAAGGCCAGCCTGGTCTACATACCAAGTTTTGGTCCAGACAGGGCTACATAGTAAGACCTTATCTTAAAAAAAAAATTTAAGCAAATAATATATCTGACTGACCCCAGCATACAGGGTCATAAATACACAGCTGGGGTATTATTGTGGGCAAGAGCAACTATTCTAGAATTTTCTCCAGGTTGTTTCTGAGCCTGGTATTTGCAGAATACTAGCTGTAATGGATCCCACAGGGTGGTCTCTGTGGTTTCCCTAGGGTGAAGAAGTGAACGCTGGACGAATTGGCCTGACTATTGTCATCGCAGGGATGTTTGGAGCTATGATCTCAGGCATCTGGCTGGATAAGTCCAAAACCTACAAGTGAGTGACTCTTTTTGGATCAAGAACCAGGGAAATGACACACTTCTTAGGAACATAGCTTTGGGGCGGGGCGGCAGCCAGAGGTGTGAGCAGTCAAGCGGAGGGATGTAAGTTTTTACTTTCTGCGAGTCTCGTTCCTCATTTACAAAGTGGAACTCAGCACTCACTCTGCGGGGTCTTGGCAGGGACTAGGAAGAGTGGACACGAAGGCTAGCGTAGTCCTTCTTCCCAGGCCATCTGCCTAAAGCCTCATGGGAAGAAGTGGAAATAAATGTGGAAAGGAGACCTCAGCAGTTGGGAGCTTGTGGAAACCCCGAAGAGTGAAAAGCAGGCACTGCCACTGTCCATGCCCTTGGCTGCCCCGGCCTAACTGAGCTTTCTGCCTTTTGTTCTAGTTTGCAGAGCATTTTATCTTACAATTGTTTTTTAAATCTTGTTTGCAAATATTGTGATGTGCCTTGAACCTGACTATCCAGGACACTCTGAAGAGCCCGAGTGATCGTAAAAGGTTTCAGTATATGCCAGCCTAATCCTGGCCTATAAACACAGAATCCTCACCCCCTGCTCTGCAGATGCCCATGTAGTAGAAGGGTCTGCCTTGTGAGATGCAAGCTGGGGGTGGGCGAGGTGGCTCCGTTGATAAAGTGCTTGCCATGTAAACATGAGAGCCTGAGTCTGCACCCCGGGATGCACATAAAGGACACGCACGGTGACAGGTGCTTGTAATCTCAGGCCGCGAGGTAGACAGGAGGACTTCTGGGATTCAGTGGGCATCAGTTCATAGCCAGTTGAGAGTCGAACTCAGGGCCTGTGGATGCTAGGCAAGTAATCGAGTGCGGAGCTACATTGCCGGTCCTGTCCTCCCCTTCTGGTTGTGACTCTGCATGGGCGCTCCTCCCCCAGTGGGTGTTCAGTAAACACTAGCCGTGGGGCAGCTGCCAGGATGCTCCTGCCCTGGGGTAGGCAGCGCTCCAGGCTGCTTTGTCGAAACCTCCAAAGTTCCCAGTGTCTGGAGGCAACAGACAGTGGTAGACCTGTTTTCTGCCACACAGACCCACTTCTGTGAGCCTCTGGGCAGGTCAAGTCTCCCTTTGCCTGGCCTAGTCCAAGGCCGGCTGAGGCTGCTCCCGGGGATGTGGCTTCCTGGCTTACTACAACGAGGAGCCTGGCTCGGTGGCAGCGGCGTAATTATTGCTGGTGAAGCTTGGCTGCCTCTCTGTCTCCGTATTATAACAACTCCGTTAGTTGCTTTTTTCGGCCAGATACAAAAGCACTGAAGGCTGGCCACCCCCGGGCAAGAGGACAGCAGTGTCCCTTCTTCCAGGGCCGGCCGGCAGCAGGAAAAGGGAGGGGTTGGAATGCTGGCTTGGCAGGGTCGTGGGCAGCCAGAGAGGACTTAGAGGAATTAGAAAATGCAGTGAAGGCCTGGGGAGGCTCTTGCTCTGCCCTCTTCAGGAGCGGGATATAGCCAGTTCTTAGTGTCACTCAGTGTCCAAAGCCAGCTGTCAACCGGTTCTCTTCCTCCCAAAACCCCTGGATTTGTCTGCCCTCGGTGAGAGGCTGGAAACTGGGCGTTGAGGTCTGTTTATCTCAGGCTGGGACTGGGACATAGTTTTGTTTTGCTTTTTTAAGTAGCCACTGTATGAAGGTGGAGTTGTGGCTTACCAAACACAGTAAAATATATTTTTTTTAAATTATCTGATGAATAGAATCACTGAGAATGAACATGTTCATGAGCATGCGTTCTGAGGGTGATGGGAATAGAGGGAGTGGATGGGGTGAAAGGAGGAGATCCCTCCTTCTCAGAACCTGGTGAGGATAGCATCTTCCAGAGGCGTTGTGCAGGAACTCCTGTAACATAGAGGCTATGGCTTTGACCTCTCCCCCAAATGCACCTGTGTAGTAGATTATTATTCCGGTGTGCAGCTTGAGATAGTGCCAACGTTTCAAACTCAGTTCAGGGGCAGATCCTACCTTGTGCATTTACTCAGCCCACTAGTGATTTTAAATAAAATGAACCTCCGTTTCTTCATTGGCAAGATTAGGGGTTGCCAGAGATTTCTTTGCAGGGTTGATTTCAAACCATGTAAAAAGTATGTAACAGAATCTGAACTCCAATAAAATTATTAGTTTCATATACTATAGTGTGCTTGCTGGTGTCCCACTGTGTTACTGGCTTCAGAGATGATGTGTAAAGGTTTTGAGGGGTCACATCTGAGTCCTGGTGCAGGGCAGAGGGGTGTGCTGAGGCAGCATCCTACAGGAAGTGGTACAGGGAGCAGAATGCAGGTCTGTTTGCAGGAATCAGGGCCATAAGATTTCTGGGTGGCCAACACTGTGAAGGGAGGGTGTGGAGGGATGTGGGAGAGGCAAGCCTGACTTCAGACCCAGCACAAAGAGAAAGGCCATGGGGAGTAGGCGGTGGCTTCTCCCTTTGGCTTTGGGGTCAAGCTCTTAGCTCGGGATTAGAGAACATTCTCTTTCAGCTCCATTGTCTGGAGCAGAGTAGTTCAGATTCAAAAGGTTCAACAGGAAAGCTGTGCAAAGGGCCACAGGAAGAACTTACCAAAGGGAGTCGGCAAGCCAGGCTACTGCCCAGCATTGCTCTGGGGGTTTGGGACTTCATACGTAGCAAGCAACATCGAAAGCTTTGAGGTAGGCATGACCATCACCACCTTGACTACAGCTGATGTTTATCTTGTCATCCACCCCACCTCCTTTTTTTTTTTTTCTTGGTGGGGGACAGAAGAAGGACAGGGCTGTCCTGTTCTTACCCATGGATGGGACACAGCACGTTAGGCTTATAGAGAGAGCATGCAAAGCATGCATCCAGCTAGTCTTATTCTTTGTAACTTTGATCGTGGTGTGATTATTTATTGTAAATGAATAACTGTTAGATTAGTGTTCCTCACCTACACGGAGACACTTTTTTGTGAAAGCAGATGTGCCAGCATGCTGCAGAGAGCCGGTAAGAGAGCAGATGTTCAGTAGATCCTCGTGGAATGAACAGATTAGCGATGGGCGCTGTTAAAGTAGGATACATGACTCAACTTCTTTGCATCTATCCACAGGCAGACAACCCTGGTAGTGTATATCATGACCCTGGTGGGCATGGTGGTGTACACGTTCACCTTAAACCTCAATCGTTTATGGGTGGTATTCATCACTGCTGGCACCCTGGGGTAAGTTTCATGTCTGACCTGTTTAATTGGAAAACACATCCCCTGGCTCCTGGAATGGCCAGTAGCCTAAGATGCAGTGCGTGTCCCCTCGGCTGCCTCCTCACTGGCCTCAGGAGATGTGGAAATGGTGCTGAGGGGTCTTGTTCATACTTGAGGCATAGGCCAGGTAGAGTGGCACATGCCTTGAATGCCAGCACTCAGGAGGCAGAGGCAGAGGGATCTCTGTGAGTCTGATGCCAGCCTGGTCTACAGAGTGAGTTCTAGTTCTCTCTAGCTAAGTAGAGAAACTGTGTAAAAAAAAACAAAACAAAACAAAAACCACAAACAAACAAAAAAAAACCAACAACAAAAACAAAACAAAACCACAAAAAACCAAACCAAAAACTGAGTCACCTCAGGGAGCTGGGCTGTCCTGTGGGATGGAATGAAGCATGGACTATGCCCTTCAAGACATCTGGGATGCTGGGGAATGTTCAGTGACTCCTGGTGCAGGGCTCAGTTCTGCTACCAACTGTTGTTAGAGCACATGCATGCCACCTAATGCTAAGCTTACGTCTCCTCATCTGAAAATTAAGGTAAGTGTGGCCAACTTTGTAGGGAGTTAGAAGGAATGAGATAGGCCATGGTAGGAAGACACAAGGAAGCCTGGTGCAGGTAGACGGAGTTAGAACTAGCATTTTCAGACACATTAGCTGAGAGAATGCACAGAGCCGCGGGCCTTTTGCAGGGACATTTCTGGGCTCCACCTCCTAGCTATTTTCCTTCAGGCCATACGAGCTGTGGGAGAGATATCTGACTCTCAGTCCTTCTCAGCTGCCTCCTACTGGGGAGGAAATAAGGAGAACGCCAAACTCCTTTCAGGCCCCAGAGATCCATGGCGATGTAGTCCAAAGTCCAGGGACTTCCCCGTCTAACTCAGGGCCTGTGGACCTAGACCAAGTATTCTCAGCTGAAAGTGAACCACACAGGTACTCTTGCCCCTTCCATAAATGCTAACGTGTCATGGCTGGCCTGGGAAGAGCATGGAAGACATTAGAGACCCACTAAGCACAAGGCCTAGATATCTGCAGAGATCTCCCCCTTTCGGTAGACGGATGGATCGCTAACCTGACGGGAGGAGAAAAGCAGGGTCTCAGGGGAAAGGTGGGCTCCCCATCTTGTTCTGGAGATTCTCCATGGTCTTGTTCTCTGGTCTGGACTTCAGCTTCTTCATGACTGGCTATCTACCCCTGGGGTTTGAGTTTGCTGTGGAGCTCACGTACCCAGAATCCGAAGGCATGTCGTCTGGCCTCCTCAACGTGTCAGCACAGGTAGGACCCTGTTTTCTCTTGGTCCCCTCTTGGCTGTGCTTGCCTTACAGTGTGGCATCTGTTGTTGTTTTTTCAAGACAGGGTTTCTCTGTGTAGCCCTGGTTGTCCTGGAACTCGCTCTGTAGACTAGGCTGGCCTCGAACTCAGAGATCCACCTGCCTCTGCCTCCCGAGTGCTGGGGTGGAAGACTTTTGGGCTACCACCACCCTGCTCAGTACGTCACCTTAATCCTTCCCAAGGCCCTCGTCGATTAAGCCCTTGTTTCCTGCACTCTGTATGTTCCTCCAGGTGTTTGGGATCATCTTCACCATCTCCCAAGGCCAGATCATTGACAACTACGGAACCAAGCCTGGGAACATCTTCCTGTGTGTGTTCCTTGCCCTCGGATCAGCTCTCACGGGTGAGTGGAGGCCTGAGAGCAAGATAAGGTTCAGACTACATACGGGATATCGGCAATTTCCTGTGTCTTGCCTGACGATGACAGTGGGGAGCACACACATGGGGGACAGATGGGAGGGCTTGATGGCTTTCCGTTTGGGGGTATCTGTATGCATGGGTGAGTGGCTTTTGGCATCAGAAGGCCCATGTTTGATGTTGACTCTTCCACAGCTTGTGCCAGTGGACTAGGCTCTGGAGGCCTTGGATCCTGATTTGTACAGTGGGGATTTGCTGGTGGTGTTAGCACAGCATGGGGAATGTTCCTTTTAAGAGACTCTTAAGTGAATGCCAGCATCATTAACTGGCTTCTGCCTTTCAAGGACGGCAGTGACCTGGGACTTTTTTTTTTTTAATTAATTTATTTTTATTTTATGTGCATTGGTGTTTTGCCTGCATGTATGGCTTTGTGAGGGTTACAGATAGTTGTTGGCTGCCATGTGGGTGCTGGGAATTGAACCTGGCTCCTCCGGAAGAGCAGCAGGTGCGCTTAGCTGCTGAGCCATCTCTCCAGCCCCAACCTGGGACTTTTTCAAGATGAGTGATGATGCCACCTCCATCTGGGTCTGAAGTGGGATCCAGATAGCTGTGATCAGGAAAATGAGGGTCCCTTGTGTTGTCTGAACTTACCCAGTGGGTTTGCTTGATGACTCTGCTTTGACTCTCTTCTTTTTTGACCTCAGCTTTCATTAAGGCGGATCTTCGGAGACAGAGGGCAAACAAGGATGTTCCTGAGACTGTGAGTGTGTGGGGGCTTGGCAGGGATAGGCTCTGGGTCCTAAGCCTTTGATAAGGATGCGGCAACAGAGGCGGGGCCCTACCAGCTCTCAGAGAAACTGATTTTTGTGGCGTCTGTGAGACCAGCTCACCGCTTATAAACTTGGCATCCGAAGAATTTCCTCATGGGTGTCCAGTATTGATCCTCTTTCTTGGAATCTTCTTCCATCTTCTTTTCTCAATTCTTCGAAAGATTTATTTTTATTTATGTGTATGAGTGTTTGCCTGCTTGTACATATGTGAACCATGTGCGTGCCTAGAGCTCAGAGCTCAGGAGACGGCATCATGTCCCTTGGAGCTGGAGTTGCAGGTAGTTCTGAGCCACCATGTGGGTGCTGGGAACCAAACCTGAGTCCTCTATCAGAGCAGCCAGTGCTCTTAACCACTGAGCTGTTTCTCCACCCCCTTTGACTTTCAACCAGCCCCCAGTCTCTTTGTTATGTTCCCCAGAGTATTATCATTGCCGTCAGAAACTGCTAAACAGCATCTACTCTTGTGGTTCTGAGCCAAGTCTTGGGTCCTTGGTTTCACTATTATCAACTGGAGTCAGTGACTAGCAAGGGAACATAGGCACCTGGATTGATCACTCCGTGACAGTGGTGGTGACAGTCTCTTAGGCAGAGTTCCGGGGATGGAGCCAACAGGTTGCCAGAAAGTTCTGAAAGGACAAGTCAAGAAGGAGGAGCTGGTGGCAGTGAAAGAGGAGGGTGGGGCCAGCAGTATGTTCTAGAACAGAAGAGTATTTTCCATCTCCCCCAGTCAGCTGGAAAGCACTTTAACCAAAATGCTAGGTTTAAGTCTAAGTGGGGCCTCAGTGGCAGAGTGCTTACTTAGCATCCGCAAAGCCTCAAGTTCAGTCCCCAGCATCACATTGGGGAGGCAGATTCAAGTGAAGATGAAAGGTATTGCAAGTGTGAGGAATCAAAGTAAGATATTTGTTACATACACACACACACATTCACATACACACACACACACACACACACACACCATTAAACTCACTATAGACATATATCCTTTGTAGAAAAACTGAAAAAAAAAAAGCACAGCAAATATACAAGAGTCTTAAAATCATGCTGTGATTCTATCACCTAGAAACACAGTATTTACCATTTATGCGTGTCCACACAGTGGATATGTGTACATACACATTTTGTGTTTTTCATGTGTATGCATGCTTCATGTGTGGGGTGGTTATGTGCCTGCATGAGGAGGCCTAAGGTTGGCATTAAGAATTTTCCTTGGTCATCTTCTACCTTCTACATTGAGGCAGAATCTCTAGCTGAACCCATAGCTCATAGATACAGCTAGTTTGGCTAGCCAGATTATTCTGGGGATTCCTGTCTCCACCTTCTGAGTGCTAGAGTTACAAGCAGGTCACCATGGCCACCCAACCTTTGAGTGTGTTCTAGGGATATGAACTCATGCCCTGATGCTTATCTAGAGGATGCTTTAGCCATTGAACCAGCCGTCTCTGTCTTGGTTTTTGTTTGTTTTGTTTGTTTGTTTTTAAGACATGTTCTTATTATTTCTATGGCTGGTCTAGAACTTACCGTGTAGCCCAGGCTGGCTTCAAATTCAGGGTGATACTCCTGCTTTAGCCTCCTGAGTGCTGTGAATACAGGCATGAGCCACCATGCCTGGCTTTTTCCCTCCCTCCCTCCCTTCCTCCCTCTCTCCCTCCCTCTCTTCCTTCCCTTCTCTTTTCTACCCTTCCCTTTCCTCCCTCCCTCCCTCCCTCCC